TGTTAAATTGGTCATGTATGTTTATAAACTACCTATAATTGTAAAGGATCACTTTATAAAACATTTTTGCCCCTTTTTTAAAAATTGACGACTGTTGAAAAAACAACTTCCATCAGCCAAGTAAGGCCTTAGGGACCTGTGAGAATCTGGGGAGTGAGTTTAGTTTTATGCCGCACTCAGCAATATTCCAGCTATATGGCGGCGGTCTGTAAATAATCAAGTCTGGACCAGACAATCCAGTGATCAACAGCATGAGCGTCGATCTGTGCAATTGGGAACCGATGACATGTGTCAACCAAGTCAGCGAGCCTGACCACCCGATCCCATTAGTCGCCTCTTACGACAAGCATAGTCGCCTTTTGTGGCAAGCATGGGTTGCTGAAGACCTATTCTACCCCGGATCTTCACGGGTCAGAGAATCTGGGGAGGGTGAGGAAACACTAACCAGTTAAGAAGGAGACAACATGAAGAGTCATGCATAGAAATAGACTATAAAGTGTTAAGAAATCTAAAGCATACTCCAGTACAAAAACAGTATTGACAAATTTCCACCTTAGAGGGTTCATGAATAAAGAAATTAGCAAATATGGAAACTAACAAAACCAAAAAAACAATGCACAAGAGTCTTTTACTGGGTAATCCTATCTCACCCATGCATTTATGATTTATCACAGGTCCCTTAGATCAATCTACATGGCCTACAGACATAGAATCTGCCAAGGTTTAATCGAATCCCTATTACTAGCAATGTTTACAAAACAAATCTCTTGTTATCTCCCTCAACAACTGAGTAGCACATGTCAAGGAGATCTGTTGTTGTCAATATCACCTCGCCCCCTCCACACACCCTCCGACTGCATGCACCCGCCTCCTATATTGCAAATCACAAGTGTGATTAAGGAACTAATTCTTGACTTGGAAAGATTACAACAAAAGAAATCTGAAAAAATATCACCGACACAATGCCCAAGGGATTTTCAATCTTTCTACACGTGTTTAGCTTCTTTCATATCAAGTATGGCCCTATAAAGCCATTGTTCTGACTTTCTAAGCATTGCGTAGGAGTTCACAAGAGGAAATCAATGAAGAAACAGGCTCCCTATTGTGTAACAATGGGGGACTCCGAGACTACATCAGATTTGAGGTTAGAATTCCGGCAAGACCTTCTGGTGACAAGACAAGAACAAATAGGTCATGTTCCCCAACCAGTCAATCATACATAAAAGAATTAGATAATAATTTCTACCTGCATGGTATACCTGTGTTAAAACTATACCCAATAACATCATGGAGTTGGAGATTACTGATATCAGTCAAAGGGGGTACAGGTATGTAAAAGAGAGTATTGTCTACCATGTTAACTTCCAGACTACAATCAGAAATTATATCAAGTTATCTGCAGCTCTAGATTTATCAACTCTACATATCAGATCGCAATCAGGAACATAATGTTCCATAATCTTAAATGATGTCTTATTATCTCGCTGTGAAAAAGGCTTAAAGGAAAGACAATCGTGTGATAGAAGACCATGCAAAAAGGAGAGCATATGTTATGTGAGAAGAGTGCATCCAAAGAGTGCATCAAAGGACTGACTGACTTTTGTTGAGACAGCCATCACGTCAACCAGAAGACACATTTTAACCCATGGGAGAAGGTATGGCATGGCATGGGAAGATCAAGTCTGTCATACAGACCCTTAACAAATATACACAATGCAGCTCACGCAGGTCTAGAATGGGTGGCAAGTCCAGATTAGAAGAGGTATAAGACATGACAAACGGAGAGAATTTTGATGAGAGGAGACCACAAATTTCCATGAAAAATGGGCATTGTGTAGAGAAGACACAGATTAGAAGAGGTGTCTGGGCTCCATTTATTTGTATGTTATTTAAATTTATAACCCTTTTTCTGCCAAATATGTTTATTTGATGAGAGAACAGATGTTAGTCTTTGGGAGGAGACCAAGTAAAAGGATGAGAGGAGACCATGTATGCATGTGAGAAGATCACGACAAATGGAGAGAATATTTGGTGAGAGAAGACCATGACAAATGGAGAGCTCAACCATGGTAAGACTGTTGGTAATATTGTAATAATTTAAACATGACTTGTGTTTAGGTCATGCTGGAAAAGTTACTTTCCTTGCTGGCCCTCTTCAAGTGAAAGGACAGGACTATCTATACTGCAAGGATATGCTGTAGATCACCAGGACATTTTAGTTCCAATTACTTTTCTAAAATATACTCCAGAACACTAGTCTGAAATGTGCTTGGAGTGTTGCCTTGCCAATTGGACGACATACTTCAGTACACCCTCCACTACACTTAACCAGGACCTGTTGTAAAGTGGAAACTACTCACAGCCTTCAGTACAGTGGAAACTACTCACAGCCTATTGTACAGTGGAAACTACCCACAGCCTACTGTACAGTGGAAACTACCCACAGCCTATTGTACAGTGGAAACTACCCACAGCCTACTGTACAGTGGAAACTACCCACAGCCTATTGTACAGTGGAAACTACCCACAGCCTATTGTACAGTGGAAACTACCCACAGCCTACTGTACAGTGGAACAGTACAGCCTAAGTGGAAACTACCCACAGCCTATTGTACAGTGGAAACTACACAGCCTACTGTACAGTGTGGACAGTTCAAGCTACCACACCTATTGTACAGTGGAACTACTGTACAGTGGAAACTACCCACAGCCTGTACAGTGGAAACTACCCACAGCCTACTGTACAGTGGAAACTACCCACAGCCTACTGTACAGTGGAAACTACCACAGCCTGCTGTACATTGGAAACTACTCACAGCCTACTGTACAGTGGAAGCTACCACACAGCCTACTGTACAGTGGGAAGCTACCCACAGCCTACTGTACAGTGGAAGCTACACAGCATACACAGTTCAGCCTGTGTACAGTTCAGAAGCTACTCACAGCCTTACAAGCTACTCTCAGCCTGCTGTTCAGTTCAAGCTACCCACAGCCTACTGTACAGTTCAAGCTACCACAGCCTACTGTACAGTACCTGCTGTACAGTTCACAGCTACTACAGCCTGCTGTACAGTTCAAGCTACCCACAGCCTACTGTACAGTTCAAGCTACCCACAGCCTACTGTACAGTTCAAAGCTACCACAGCCTACTGTACAGTTCAAGCTACTAAACCACAGAACAGCCTACTGTACAGTTCACTCACTGTACAGTTCAACAGCTACTACCACAGCCTGTACAGTTCAAGCTACCACAGCCTACTGTACAGTTCAAGCTACCACAGCCTACTGTACAGTTCAAGCTACTACCCACAGCCTACTGTACAGTACTGTACAGTTCAAGACAGCCTACTGTACAGTTCACTACCACAGCCTACTGTACAGTTCAAGCTACCACAGCCTACTGTACTGTACAAGCTGCTGCAGTTCAAAGCCACTCACTGCCTGCTGTACTTCAGGCTACCCACAGCCTGCTGTACAGTTCAAGCTACTCACAGCCTACTGTACAGCAGAAATTAACCACAGCCTGCTGTACAGTTCAGGCTACCCACAGCCTGCTGTACAGTTCAAGCTACCCACCGCCTACTGTACAGTGGAAACTACCCACAGCCTACTGTACAGTTGAAGTGTACAGTTTAAGCTACTCACAGCCTACAGTACAATGGAAACTCACCACAGCCTACTGTATAGTGAAACTTCCCACCCTACAGCCTAAAGTGAAAGCTACCCACAGCCTACTGTACTGTACTTGCTGCCTACGTTACAGAGGAAAATATCCACAGCCCACTATACAGTGGAAGCCAACCTACAACTGTTTCTATAGCCAAAACAACTTTTGCTTCCAGTATTATAATTATTAATTACACAATGAAATAAATCCCAATTCTAAAAATCTCTGTCCTCTTTACCTAAAACAATTCTCCAAGAAGTTCCCTTACCAATAATCACCGTTGCACCATCCCTTGCTACAATCAAACATCACCTCCTTTCATCTCTGCATCAAACATCACCGACTATTTCATTCATTCAATTTCCCTCCACTTAATCACATAATTAAACCATTCCCATTCATTCACAACCTCCATTTCATTCACTCTGCCAAGGACGCATTTGTACAAGCAGCTTAATGATTTGATACATACGTCACAAATTTATTCATTCATTCCTCTGTCCACTGTATAAACTCTGATGCACATTCCACACAGACCTGGCAAATCTGTCTCTCATTCATTTCCCCTCCAACCTTTCATTCACACACCTATACGTTTATTTATCCATTCATCCCTCCACAGGACCACAAAATCAAAATTTGTTTATTCAAATCCTCTCCCTACTAATGATAATGTACACATATCAGCTCCCACACTTGGCTATTCCCATCTCGCAGCTAGGAGATTCTCGACCGGTAGTAATTTCCCTGTTTCATTTTTCTGTACTAAGTTGCCTCTATGCCGAGCACTGATGACACATGTTCAGCTTTATCTATGTATACATGTATACACACGTGTATGTCATCCTTGTTCCACTGCCGTACGATCAGCTGATGTTATGTAATACTACCATAGGTTCTCTTCCTCTACAGCTGAAAGGCTGAGAAAAGAAGGAATCACCTTCAATCTACTCCAGAGACTTACCTGGTGAAACCCACACCAGCTGAGGTACTTAATGATTTGCCTTTGATAGATATATTTGTCAATATGACTTTTGATTGATCCACATTTACACAGTATTACAGTATAAATAAAATATACCTGAAAATATCAGATACTGATCAAGTTCAATCATCACATCACTATATCCCACTGGCTAATATTTTAAAATATTTCACAAACCCCTAACAATTATTTTCTAATTTTATGGTTTTAATTTTTACACAGATTTTAATTTTCTTTCTTTGGAAATTGGTTTAGTTTGGTTTTATAAAAATTGAAAGTAGACCCTGGAAAGAAACGTGTATATCAAAGTCAAGTTGACAATTGAATTCAGCATAAAGTATTACTTACCTGCAGGAACAAAAGGCCGGTGACAGCTATTACAGTACTCCTCATGTTTAACACAGCACGATCAACAGCTCTGAGAAATTTCACAGTACAACAAAAATCCAATTTCAATTGACACAAATCTCCAATCAGCTGACTGCCAACTTTGTGCTGCTATCCAGCTTAGGACAAAGCAGCCAATACTATCACAGCTATCGTGACTCTAGCATGTATTATAAACCAGAGTATGACAAGCAGTGAGTCGGATAACACGCTTTCGCCTCTGCAGTGTCAAGAGTCCCTTTACTATAGCGTATTGGGCTCCCTCTCTACGCTGGGTGTCAGCAGAGAGTATCGTAAAGGCCTATTAGGTAGAGTTAGGCAGAGAGTCGGTGGCTTGTGTTCAGCCTCCGTTTCACTGAAGGGAGAGGGGACGTTGGTCCGACTTATATAACACCATGTTCAGAGGAAGGGTTCTGCAGCTAATGGAACGTCAGAGGTAAACTTACACAGGATATGGCTCATGAATTAAATCACAGCTTGGTTTTTTTATAGATTGTACATACATTCCTTACAACCTGAATGGAATTCACAGATTTGACAGTAATTTTGTTTCAGATTTGTTTTCATTATTTAGATTTCATTGAGATAAAGACATTTTTAGTTCTAATCACTAATTAAAGTTCTTTTTCATTTTAAAGATATTTCTAATTTTCTGGGGCTGAAATAGAAATAATTATCTCTCTGTTGCAGTTTAAGTATATTACATCAAACAATATTTTTTTATAATTCTTTCTTTTACTGTTAAACATATAAATATATTGAGAGTTACAGTACTTAAACCTTCTTAAATATATTTTAATAATTGAAAATTCATAACTTTTGTTTTTTCTTTCCAAACCAGTCTTGTCTGAAGTTTGATTCACTGATGACTTCTAAAACTGTATGAATGAGTGTTCGGTTAAGAATGGAGGAAGCTAAAACAGGGCATTTCCCAGTGACTCACACCACAAGGAGCCGTTCCCCACAATCAGACATATGTCCAACAATAAAAATCCCATGAGCATTACCATAACATCAATTTATCACCCCTAACACTATGAGCGAGAGTGGGAGGGTGGAGAGGAAACGAGAGGGAGAGAAGATCCTGGAGAGAGAGGGAGTGAAAAAGATTTTAAGCTGCATTTAACCCTGATTTTCATCTGCCTAATTATCACGGCAAGGGACCCTACGAAGAAACTTGACAAATTTGACAAAGCGGGAATAAAACAACGCTCTTCAATGCAGCAACTGAACAGTATATCACCTCGGGGAGCCATTATCTGTTTATTATTTTAATCTGTAATCTGCTGACCCACAAATGTGAAAAAAATAAATTCTACGTTTATACTTTATATTTTTCATCAACATGTCATGGATAAGTATTTTGTCATTCTTAATGGTTTCTCAAAATCAATCAGTTCTTATTTCACATGGAATATATCTACATCTATGTTCCCTGTCCTTGACCTTCCACAAACAAAATCCCTTAGTCTCCTGAGAAAAGATCTGAACATGACTTCTGTGAAAAAATCCTTGATTCAACAAACAAAGAACTAATGGCTTGAGCTATCCAATCACACCACAGAGTGTTAGCGATGCACTCACAGTCAACTCACACGTACACATTTTGTTCATGTCCATACAGCCGAGAACTTGTAGTTTGGTATCTCACTAGCTCATGAACAAACAATATTGGCCACTTCTTCCTCTCCCAACAAAGAGATACCATCTGATGTCGATGATGTTGGAACACAGCGCCTTCCATGAGAATGTCACAATACTGCCACCACAACCACATTGTCAGGAGACTTTTTGTGTGGTTCTCATTTTGTATCTCCTTAAACAGTCGTCTTATCAGTCACTCAAAAGTCTCTATCTCACTGGGATATCAGGAGGAGACCGTGTTTTCTGGGAACCTCATGATTTTGTTACATGCAGGTTGATGAGCTGCACATTGAAATATGAGGGCAATGTTTATGTCCACCCATTGCAAACTGCCACCTCCCAAACGACACTGTGCACGTAATTTGACTGATACTGACCAGAGGCAACAAAAGATCTAAAACCAAAACCATCCATTCCATGAAATGGCACCTTCCAGTGACACACTTCTCTAAAAACATCTAAGTGGGTGTGACCACAAACATCAAAGTTGGTGTGACCACAAAACATCAAAGTGGGTGTGACCACAAAACATCTGAGTGGGTGTGACCACAAAACATCCAAGTGGGCGTGACCACAAAACATCCAAGTGGGTGTGACCACAAAACATCTAAGTGGGTGTGACCACAAAACATCTGAGTGGGTGTGACCACAAAACATATAAGTGGGTGTGACCACAGAACATCTAAGTGGGTGTGAGCACAGAACATCTAAGTGGGTGTGACCACAGAACATCTAAGTGGGTGTGACCACAGAACATCTATGTGGGTGTGAGCACAGAACATCTATGTGGGTGTGACCACAGAACATATAAGTCGGTTTGACCACAGAACATCTAAGTGGGTGTGACCACAGAACATCTACGTGGGTGTGACCACAGAACATCTAAGTGGGTGTGACCACAGAACATCTAAGTCGGTGTGACCACAAAACATCTAAGTCAGTGTGACCACAAAACATCTAAGTCGGTGTGACCACAAAACATCTAATTCGGTGTGACCACAAAACATCTCACTGAATGTGACCACAAAACATCTCATTTCAAATATGACAACAACCAACCTTTCTCCTGTAGCTGATCATCATAACAAGAGCTGGGACTGGTCGCTGCCAACCACTACTCATGATCACTCTACTTGTACAGACTGCTGTAGAGATGTGGCTTTGAGAAAGCTGAAAGCAGTATTTGAAACTCACGTTGTATGGTCTGGTACAGTGTATTTGCAATACTGCTATGCTAATATCTAAGAATCACCTACCGACTATTCCCTGTTGCTGTGAAATGTAATTGGAAAGTGTCAAAGTTAAAATATTGGATTAAAAATTAAGATATTTGTTGAAATACATTAAATAAAAGTTGAATACATCAAGTGGACTCTAATTAGGCTTTCATCCCTGATTCAGCCATAACTGAAATACCATTCAAAGAGGCATGAAAGTCACTCACTCACTCAGCAAAGATACCGGAACTAAGTGATTATTACCCAAAACAGATCAGTATCTGTAACCTCAAAAGACAGCAGGAGGAACAAAGATTTCAGGCCAGGTGATAATTACCCACAAAGTCAACACCTGAGCCTTTGAGACCTACCCTCGCATGTTTACCAACATTTAGGTAATGTGTCAACAAGACTGCCTGGGTGTACTACCCTAGCGACTTGGATGCGAGTGTGTCAAGTTGTTGGGATATCTGACATATTTTACTCCTACCTGGCTAATCCCTGCCCTGGACCCCTAGGGAGCTATGTAAACGCTCAACAGAGGACCCACAAAGTGGACCGGGGGGGTGGTTCTATATCTCTATCCCATGTGTCACGCTTATATACCCGTCTAATGCCAGCAGCAACGTCGTACTGGTGTAAAATATCTTATTTTTACTATGACATATTTTATGATTTCTAATAGCTTGTCTGTAATTATTTCAACATCTACATCTACAATGAATTTGTCCCTCAACACAACTCCATTGAAAATATACCTGAGTTAGGTTATAAAATATTTCAATCCTGCAAAATCACAACTTGTTTTATCTTTCTGATTTGAGTGAGTGAGTGAGTTTAGTTTTACGCCGCACTCAGCAATATTCCAGCTATATGGCGGCGGTCTGTAAATAATCGAGTCTGGACCAGACAATCCAGTGATCAACAGCATGAGCATCAATCTACACAATTGGGAACTGATGACGTGTCAACCAAGCGAGCGAGCCTGACCACCCGATCCCGTTGGTCGCCTCTTATGACAAGCATGGGTTACTGAATGTTCATTCTAACCCGGACCTTCACGGGTTAAAGCAGATAATATATATATAGGCCTGTATATATACAGAGGGAAGGTTTCACTTCCTAAGACCATAAACTATTAACAACTCATCAAGGCCTAGTCTTAATAAACTATTAACAACTCATCAAGGCCTAGTCCTAATAAACTATTAACAACTCATCAAGGCCTAGTCCTAATAAACTATTAACAACTCATCAAGGCCTAGTCCTAATAAACTATTAACAACTCATCAAGAATAAACTAAAAGGCTAGTCTTAATAAACTAATATCAAGGCCTTCCTTAAACTAAATGGATTATTAACAACTATCAAGGCCTAGTCCTAATAAACTATTAACAACTCATCAAGGCCTAGTCTTAATAAACTATTAACAACTCATCAAGGCCTAGTCCTAATAAACTATTAACAACTCATCAAGGCCTAGTCTTAATAAACTATTAACAACTCATCAAGGCCTAGTCCTAATAAACTCTCATTAGTCCTAATAAACTATTAACATGTATTAACAACTATCAAGGCCTAGTCCTAATAAACTATTAACAACTCATCAAGGCATCCTAATAAACTATTAACTCATCAAGGCCTAGTCCTAATAAACTATTAACAACTCATCAAGGGCTAGTCCTAATAAACTATTAACAACTCATCAAGGCCTAGTCCTAATAAACACAGAGACAAAAGGCTGACATATATATATATGTTTTTTAAATGGATTTGTAGCAGCTGAAATATCAATAAAAACATAAATCATCTTACAGTTTTCAACTTAAAGTTGTTCTTTCAAAGTGACATTTATGTACAGTAGCTATTTCTGGTAGCAAAAGATGTACCACTAAAATAGCATGAATATAAAGAACTTGAAATTCATGAGTCACCACTCACTCACTCACTCACTCACTGTCGTCATTGACTTGAAATTGACACCAAACAAATCAATGACCTTTAACAAGGTCAATAAGGAAAAATATGTGAATGAAATCATTGCAGCAGGCTAATGGATTTTCTTTATTCAAAAGTCAGCATTATTATAGCTATGTAAAGCAATATAAAGCAGCCCAACAATACCCTAGACAAGTGGTTGATAGAAAGTATCCATGATGACCAATCAATCCACATTAAGTTGGCTCTTATCACAAGCATGGGTTATTTCATCTTCTCCCCTTGGAATCCTATCACTTCATCCATGTCTGATCCAGAGCGTCCCCTCCGTGGTGTAGTGGTTAGAGCGTCCGCCCGGAGAAGGGAAGGTCGTGGGTTCGATCCCCGACCGCGTCATACCAAAAGACGTTAAAATATGGTACTTGTTGGTCCCTGCCTGGCGCTCGGCATTAATGGGTGCAACAAGGACTGGTCGGCTCGGAGTCAGTATAATGTGTCTGAGTGGGGTATTCATGCTTCACTGCGGCATGGTATCTCAGTGGGCTAGCAC